TTTTTATGTGCACCTCTAGTTTTCTCTTCCTCTTCTCTAAAGCAGCGCAGCATGGCCTCGCCCCCTTTGCTGCCTTTTGCCTATTTGCAATTAGGATGCAATTTTCTGCTGATTCGATGCAATAATTGTACACTATTTATGAAATGCTGTTTGAAAAACATCTGAATTTCCTGATCCGTTTTAGAAATAGTCTTTCTTTTCACAGTGTGAAACAATCGTTGAGCAGCACGAGGATGAACTTATTGAATTCTTTGCTCACGAGACAGACAATGTTAAAGACAAGCTCTGCAGTAAGAGGACAGGTAATGCTGTAAATATGGATATATGACCTATGAACTTCACATGATACGTGTCTCTAGATTATCTGAAGTTCTTTTAATTCACCATAGTCACAAGCTACACGCATTTACCTGTAAAAAAAAAAACTTTGACCTGTTAAAAACACCTTTTCAAGCATATTTAACAATACGTACAATATTGTGTAAAATATTCAGAAAGGACATCTGGAACTATATCACCAATAAATTTTTTTTTACTACATTGCATTGCATATGTAATTTTATTTCTTTAACTCCTTCCACAGGTCTCTGTGACCATGCCCTGAAGATACCTCATGACGAGTTATAACATGAGCCGAGCACATCATGACAGATTTACTTTCGGAAAACAATGTTCTACTTCAGTAAACACACTGATTCTCTTACTTGTTGAGGACGCTGAACATACAGCGATCTACTTAAGTGATGTTAGGCCAACATTACATAATGTACTTGACCCTATGGGTTAACAGTTGACATGTTCAACTGTATTAATGGCGTTACCATCAAAACTGTTCATTGTCACTAATTAAAGCTGACTTTCTACAGCTAAAAATTAGATCTCTTTATGAGTCTCTCCAATGGCATACTTTTATATTTAAATGTCTTTGGATGCACTTAGTGTTTAGTTTAGAAGATATCTTTCAGTTTATTTATTATAAGCACAGATAGAGCACCTCTGGAGTTCCTGGTTCTAGTGGTGATGTTGTGTCTTGATGGTTTTTCAGGTCATGAATCTGACCAGATTACTAGTCCTTAAATTTTAACCAATTAGGTTACCACCATTTTGTATGGAAGTGAATATCAGTTAATCCACATTTGTGTTCACTTGTTTTCTTCCCACACATTATTGCATTGGTTGTTGCTAAAAAAGGAAAAACAAAATAAAAGCGATCCATCTGTCATACAGTGTTATTGTGGCCGTGGCGTGTCACGTGACAAGCATGACGCGTCGCCATGGAAACAATAAGGGGAAACGTTCTAAAATAACGGTCGCCTTAAAAAAAACTCACTCTGGGGGGACCGCTAGAATATTTTAAACTCACCACTGAAAGGGTTAAGACTTTCCAGAGGCTGCTAGGCCAAATAGCAGCGGCCTCCTCAGTAGTGTAGCTGGGCCTACTGCCCATTTGGCTTCTCCAATTTTGGCTCAAATTCCACATACGTAGTAAGGTTTCACTAAATAAAACAGAGCAAATAAAGTGTAATGATATTAATAAAAACATTATTCTTCCGCCAAACAATGTAGTTCCTCAGAATCAGTTGTGGTTGCAACAAAGTGGTTGCCGAGCAACACACAGAAGTAAACAAAGGTGTATGTTTGTAGAGTAATTTACAACAGCTTTGAAAGTGGCTCAGCCAATCAGAATCAAGGACCGGAACTATCCGTTTTATAAAGTGAATTTATAACAGCTAAGGGGGTTTTAGGCACTCCGCTTCACGTCATGTCTAACAATGCCCCTTAGCTGTTATAAATTCACTGTAAACCACGGCTTCTTGGGGCTTATTGCTTTAAGGAGGCCTGTAGACTTTAACTATAGCTGTATATTGGGACTCAGATACACTCAAAACTAGAAATTCAAATGAATTAAACTGAGGAACAGCTACGGGACTTAAATTGTATTGTTGATTGTACAATACAATTATACCCCCACCTCTACCAGAGGATCGCGGGAGATCAAATAACCCATAGCCAACAGGAATAAGTTCATTAAAAAAGAAAACCATCCGACTGTTTGTGCCATGTTTCAACTAAACACAAAAGGTTGAGTTTTTCTTCCACAATGATATCAGATAAAATCAGACTTGTTGTTGACAGACCGTACATAAAAAAAGGCAGATTTCAACAGACGCTGGGACTCTTCATATATAGGCACAGACAAGTTGTGTTATAATTAATTCCAGCAGCTCTAGAAAACAGCCTCTGAGGTTTACGAAGAAATGTTGGATAGGAAACAACATCAGAGGATAAGTATGTAAAACTGTATTCCAACATCTCTGCAGATTGTATGGATATCATTTGCCAAATAATAGTTCCTCTTTAGTTTCAACAGCTGGTGAGCAGTGTAGGCCTACCTTAAGGCCATGCAGGAGGAATCCACACCAACATCAGCCTCGCTTCAGTGTACAGCAGGGCAACAAGAGAGTTGGTTCCAGCAGCAAATACTCAAAAATAAAAACAATAACTCAACGGGTGAAGCGTAATTCCACATCGCAATAAAGTAAAACAACACAGAAAGGCTCCAAAACCGTTCACACAAAAACATCAATAGTTAAGACAAACAAATGAGAGAAGGGAATGGCAACCAAACCACTGCAGCGTGCTTTAGACACTATTTCATCTAATCTTTTATAATGTTTGTCAATGTCCTATCAGCAAAGCATAAAAACAAGGTAAAAAAAAAGAGGTGAAACAAACATTCAAGTTTTTTTTTAATTCCTTTTTATTTATATCAGAATTTTCTGGCAAAAGATAGCTGAAAAACTGCAAATAAAAAAAAAGGTTTAATGGTTGCATGTTTTCAGTGTTTTAGGAATAATGTTCTCACAGCTTCTTTTTATTTGGCTTTTCTGTTTCAAAAACCCTCTGTGATGGATAACAGTTACAATGGTATTTGCTGTAAACAGTTTCGGAGTGGGTCTCATGTGGAACACCAGATTTTTTAGGAATCCAAGAAGCTCTCTTCGATCAAATCGTGATCATTGATGACATAGTTTTCCATTTCCGGCTGGGAAAATGTTCAGCTGTTTAGCTCTAGGTGTTTCCAAAACACCTACTTTTCGAACTCATCACAGGACGCTTATCTAATTTTCATGGAAATTTGTTAGCCTTGCCCCATAATGACTAACTTGCAATATTCTAAGTTCAAAACTTCTGGGGATCTTGGGAGAATATATCGAATGTGATCAGATTCTGGTCTTAGAGGGCACTATAACTTACAAATCTCGACAGCTGTTGTCTGTCTTTCTATTTTTCTCATCTGCTTGTTGGCGTACCTCCTTTTGGTTTCATTGACCTGCTAAGACTTATTTTAGATGACAAACCTGGCATTTTAATAATGACTGAATATTAATGTTGAAACTGATAATCAAAAGTTGACTAACAATCAGAAGTTGGACTAGAAACTACAATAGCTTAGTGTGTTCATTCTGGAGAGCATAAAACAAGAAAAAACAGGAATTGATCAATACCTCAAAACACGTGTGGTTTTACAAGACCGGACAATCCATAGAGTTAAACAAATATATATATGAAAGCATTAAGCTCAAAGTTTAGCAATACATGTCTTCAAATGAGACATGACAAACAGCTGCTCACATCCATTTTGAAATGATTACTGTATGCTGATTCATGATTGAACCAAATCATCTTTTGACCGTTCGCCGTGTCTCCTTGCCATTGCTCACAGAACCTGGACTTGGCGTCGACCTGTTTCCATTTCCACTGCTTGCTCGTCCACCCGGCTGTGGATTACTAGAGTTGCCAGAGCCTTGAGAATTCACCCCATTTCCATTGGGAGTGTCATTACCTTCAAAGAGTAAAACAATGTCTCTGGACCAGTATATTGAAAGGATATATTACATAAATAGGTTTATCAAAAAACTAGGAACCTTAAAGGATTTATAATTCTTACAAAAGTATAGGCTAGTGGTTCATGTTGCAGTATATAATCATACCTGCAGGTGCACCAGTGCTGCTGATCGTGTTGCTCTGGTCATTCAGTCCCTGATGGGTAACAAGAAAAAAGTGAATTACTACGACCAACAGTTTTAAATAATGATTTGATTAATTAAAAGGCAGAAATTCATCTAGACGTACCGTTTTATTCATCTGGGCCAAATATTCTGGATTTGGCTCACTAAAGTTTGGCACCTCTGAATACACCATGCAGAATCTTACAAATTGGATACAAAACGTTAATTCATCTAAAATAAAATATCTTGGGCATGATGAAGTTAAATATATATATATATATAGTTCAGTCATGAAACTCTAGATGGCGCAGGCTGACGGGTTGTTAATGTAACTGATGATATTCAGAGAGTTAAAGGACTTGGCACAAGCTGATTGCTTCAAGCTGCATATGCAGCCAATGAGCTTACTGCCTTGCTTTGACTAATATTTAAATTTGTTTGATGATCTGAAACATTAAAGTGTGACAAACATGCAAAAAATTAAGAAATCAGGAAGGGGGCCAACCCTTTTTCACACCACTGTATATATATATATATATATATATAATGTGTTTTTGTCTATATTGGCTGTATTTTTCTTAGCGATATTATAGTTTTTTTTTAATGCAAAACAATTCATATTGAAATAACTATACTGCCATGATAACTATAATGATAACTATACTGCCATTTACAAAAAATGAATGATTAAATAATAACTTCCTGTCCAATAATCAACTTACTCTCCAATCTTCTGTAGTTCACCTCCCCTTCCAGTGTACAGCGTCAAACAGCCTTTAAAAACTGAGGCATAACTGCAGTAAAATACAAATGTACTGTGAATAGTTCTGTAGACTGTAAACTTTTAGTCTTGTATATCAACAGTTTTAGTGATATTTACTGTCAAATTATAAAACTGTTCACTATTGTTATAAACAATAATATAAACAATCAAATAAATTGATTGTTTGTATTATTGCAGAATGAATGTGTCTTTTGAGCATCTGTTCAAATGTCTGAAAGAAAACGTCTGATAGACTTTCAATGTGCATCACTCATCAAACACAGTCTCACCCTTTGGTAAGTCTGATGATGTCACCAGCCTGGATGAGGCCACCGACTTCGTCCCAAACCGAAATACTGATGCTGCCCGTCTTGTCAGCCACTTTACATGTGCGCACCTCATGTCCGTCTTTGGTCTTCGTCACTCGTCCTTGAATGAGACAGACAAAAGAAAAAACGATAATTTACAGTAAAAAAAACAAACATATTCCTATGTACATTAGGGGTTTTTGTTACATCTTATGCTGTTAAATTAATGTTTATTGCAATTTTTTTAGAGTCGTGTTTTCACCACCTGTATTATGGTGGTTGTCATATTATAATAGATCATTATAAACCAGTAATGTGGTATATTAACGCTATTTCAGTTAATAAAATATACAGTTACTGTAAATTGATTTCAGTCTTTAAAATTTAAAATGTTGCTACCATATTTTTTACTGTAAAATTCTGGCAACCATATCTGCAGTTAAATTTCATGGATTTTTTATTTATGCTTTATTACTTCATATACTTAAATATATTTTAAAAAGGAAATAAATGTCAATGACAAATGGAGCCGATAACAAAAAGTACCAAAATTGAAAGGAGTACCATGAGTGCACGATGAATGTGGAAATATTACAGCACTAGGGTATTGATTATATTAAAATATGAAAAAAAAAAGTTTTACAGTGTGTACCATTGTACCACAGTACCATCACATAACTTTTTTTTTTTTTTAAAGCATCAATCCATTAGATGAACTCAGTGTGGGACTGCTATGGTTGGTTCCTGTATGATAAAATGCTTTTGGTTTTCCTGATATGTGGGTCACTTTAAATAAAAAGCATCTGCTAAACAATTATATGTTAATGCAGTTAAATTATTATATCTTTTTTCTTTCTTTTGTTCATTGTTTTGTCCTTCCACTTCATGTAATGTGTTGTTTGGACACCTGTTTCCAGCACGATGAAGATGACATTGAGATTCTTGAGTCCAGGTTTAATGTCCTTCACATGAGTCTCTGTGCTCATGATCAGTCTACTTCTGCCCAAATCCTGCAAGACCTGATACACAACATGTCAGTCCACATCTGATGCATTTACACTCACTATT